ATTAAGGAAATTCTCTCAGAAATAAAAGAAGACTAACAAGATGCTTAGGGAATAAGGAGAACACAGTTAAAGAGGGTTGCTAAAGAAGGGAACAATGAAATGATAGCTCAGTAGACACTGGAGAAAAATGTAAAGTGCAGGTATAACAGGTGTGAGAAAAAATTTTTTTATAAATATTGATAAATATGGATTCATTTTTTTTGAATTTTATTTTTTTCTTATCAGTTACATTTTATTAACTCTGTAGCCCAGCCGTGTCCTGCTTCCTCATTCCCTCCCAGTCCCTCCCTCCCTCCCTCATCTCCACCATGCCCCTTGCCAGGGCCACTGATAGGGGGGACCTCCTCCCTATTCATCTGATCCTGTTTTATCAGGTATCTTCAGGACTGGCTGCAAAGCTCTCCTCTGTGGCCTAACAGGACTGCTCCTCCCTTGGGGGGGTGGGGAGGCCAAAGAGCCAGTCATTGAGTTCCTGTTAGAATAGTCCTTGTTCCCCTCACTATGGGAAACCAATTGGTTACTGAGCTACCACAGGCTACATCTGAGCAGAGGTTCTAGGTTACATTCATACATGGTCCTTGGTTGCATGTCAGTCTCAGAAAAGACCCTGTGCCCAGATATATTTGGTCCTTGTGGAGCTCCTATCCTTTCCTCATCAGACTAACTCCTCTTCTTTAGAAAGTAAGAAGCCAGACTTCGCAGTGCTTTGTAAACCTTGCAGGATGCTAAGTCCTTACAATAAAGCATGTAGCGGATAGCCATTTAAAAAAAAAAAAAAAAGAAATGTGAAGTCACTTTAGTCACAGTGTAAACAATAGTAGAGATAAAACCCAGGATCTGAGTTTTTGATGTAACTGTAAAAGGTTGTTCAGAGATGACTCTTGTTCAACTGGGAAAGCCAGCTCTGCCAGTTTCCACCAGTGTCGCAGGACCTAATATAACCAGCCCATCCTGTCGAGCACCGTACTTCCCTCAGCTCCATCAAGGCCTGCAAAGCATCACACCTCAGTCCAGAGAGAGCTAGTTTCTACTGCCAGGAGGAACAAGTCACCATCACCTCCCAAAACTCAAACCCAATATCTGCTGCAAGGGTTTTGCCTCCAAACAATTCCATGGAGAAAAATTAACATTTCAGGGAGAGTTCTCTCACAGCCATTCACAAAAGAACAGAAGCCAGAGAGTGAGGCAATGAAGAGGAAGGCTCAACAGGAGCAAGAGAATGCTGCCAGGTAGGTACACCTCTCCTGGGAAACTGTAGATTTTCCTTCAGAGGGAAAAGGATATAGAAGTTTCTCAATATTATGGCTATGCAATGTAAGAGCTGGCCAGATCATTGTAATAAAGTACTTTTCAGTGTCGCCAAGGAGAGATATAGACCCAAATAGAGATATATACATGAGGTTTAAAAAGTTTTATGCATGCTTAGATTCATAGGTACATAGAAGGTAGGTAGATGAATATCTAGCTCCTTGTGTTGACATAAACGAACAGACAAGTTTTCTATAATACTTATAAATGTTTGAAGACAGTAAAATTGACTGGAGAAATTTAAGTCAGTTCTTTAACATACAGTATATAGAGAGACCTTCGTTGTTTTTCTTATACCTTTCTATTATTAATTTAGGTTGACAAAGTAATATATGTTACAGAAATATGTCAGATGTTAATAAAATCTGATATTTTTTAATATTAAAAAAGAAAGTTGATGCATGACAAGTAGAAAGGGCAGAGTCTAAAGAGCACTGAGATGTGTATGGTGTCTGTTTAGAATGAATATATACAATGCCTGTCACAGAAAATATGTTCATTAAATATTTACTCAGTAAAAATGTATTTTAGCGTGTGTCTTTATCTTAATTGAAAACATAAGTAACAGTGATAATAATAGACACAAGCTGGGAGGCAAAGTGAATAAATTGCAATAAATAAAAATAAATAAATAAATAAAAATTATAAAAATAAAATAATATGAATTTTTTTACTGTTTCTTTCTCTTTTTTATTTTTTCTACAATTTATTAATTTTGTATCTCAATTGAAGCTCCTCCCTCATCTCCTCCCATCTTCCCCTATCTGCTTCCCCTAGTCCCCTGAGAGGGGGAATTCCTGGAAGTCCTGATGAAACTTGATAAGCTAGGGTCAGAGGATGTAGTGTTTCAGTCCTTATATTAAGTTATTTTAAGTTTCTTTTCATCAGAGATTTAGAAAAATCCCCCAAAGAACTCCTAGTTTTACCTAATGAAACACGATTTTAAAGTACACTAACATAGACATCTAAAAGATTCTAAGAAAATTACACATTTAAAAATTTTCATTCATATAATTTGTCCTTCTTTATATATTAGAAATCAGAACAGTATCAGGGAAATATCGCATAATCCTTTTAACAATACTTAAAAATTACTTAATAGTTTGTCATTAAACTTGCTTATTTGACATACTCTATTAGTAAACACGGCATAGTCAGAAATTACAGAAAGGCCAAACAAATAATCGGCGAGGATCGGAATGCAGAGTCATATGCAGGAATTTTTAAAGTCCACGTTATAACTTAGAAATGCTTGTACGTATCCCTGAAAGTGCAAAGAAGTGTTTGCTATGACAAGTCTTTACTCGATAAAGTTCTATTCAGCGGTTAAAACTTATACAATGAAAAGCTACCTGTTTGTCATTCCAACCAGGGATGGAAGAGTCAGGTAACAGAAGCATACATAGTGAGTGGGTGGCAGAGTCAGGAATTGAGCCCAGTCTCTCTGATTCTGCACTTACAGGTTTTTGCTTTGTTTTACTTCCATCAATACTAACTATCTGAAACATAATTGCCATCACTCACACTACTTTTTAAAGAAAACTGCATGACAAAACTTTGTCTGTTAAATACATGGAGAGTTGAAGAAGCCAAAACATGAAGTTGAAATTAGAATATTTAAAGCATTTTAAAATATAAAAATATATTTTTAAATAAAATGTTTATGTCTCCTGTAATTTTTTTTTACATAAGGTAATTGCTAGCTCAGTCATTATCTCTGTATGGTTGTTATTATAACCATTGTACATTAACAGTTCTTTCCAGCTTTAAAGGAAGTCTTGATTGTTGGAAACAGAAAGTTGTTTTATGTCAATTTCTCCAAATACTAGAAGCTCCCTTCTGTGAAAGTCAGAAAAAAACAAAAGATGAAAGTGTAGGACACAAAGTCAGTGGTAAAGAGTGAAAGTAGAAACACATGGCACACTAGAAAAATAAAAATAAAAATAAAAAAAGATGTAGGAAACATTAAAGGATTGAAGAGATAGCCAAGAAAGGAAGTAAGTTTAAACAAGATATAGAAAAAAAGAGAAATATGTTTTGGATAGTTTTGAGTTCTTCAGCACGAATTAGGGCTTTGAAACAAGATATGTGAATGTTTTCAAAAATAAAAATGAAGTTAAAATCTCAAAATCCTTACAGCTTCTGGTGTCAGGTTATTATGTTGGGCACTTATCTGTGTAATTAAAAAAAGTCAGCCCCAGAGGTTCCTAGTGCACAGGAATAATTAAGATGATCTCTATTGTCCATACCCACTAAGTACTTGATATTGACAATCCACATTCAGCCATTTGTACAACTGATGTGTAAGAACATATCTAAAATTAAAAGATTATTTTATAATAAAACTTTTTAATACTTCATATCATTAGGAAAAATGATCACTTATACTTGATGTAGCCAAAGAGTTCCATAGTGAATTAAATGTTTAAATGATATGTGATTAATAAAAATGAATAATTATTAATTATTTTTATTAAACCTAATATATAAATATAGCATTTTAACTAGCCAAAGATAAATCAGTTCAGTTAAAAATAATTAAAATTTAAAATGATATGTAGCCAAGTAGTGAAATGTAATTAGCACTTGGAAATTCAATTTTCTTTTGAATTCTACTATTCAATACTAGTAGAGTTTTATGAGAAGTTTTACCAAAAAATGCATACTTAGCATGCTTATGGTTTAGGTAATAATTATGTCACTGTGAATTAGTAATCAAAATTCCATATTCTTGGAAGCAATAATTGGGTTGTAGTTTTGAACCAAGAGTAGGACTATCTCTGTTATTAGCTGGGCACGTAAATTTTGTTAAATATAAGAATTTAATAAAGTGGGACAAATTTTTAAATAAAATTTTAATTTACATTAACATTTAGTTGTTTTTGAATGAATAACTTATGTACTTGCAGTACTTCAAAAAACCTCCAATTTGTAAAACAAGTACTTGATAAACTATAAAAACAAGCATAAAGGGTACTAGATACTTTAATGGAAATTTTCTCTTTGCTGTATTATTTTACTGGTGAAATAAGCAGCAATTTAAAGATGAGGAGAAAAGAAAGAGGACTATAAGGCTCTTTGTGTTTGGAAGACCACACAATTGCACTGTCCACAGAAATGTTGCACAGATTGTTGAGGCCACTGTCAATTAGACTGGATAAATGTGCAGATAATAAGAACTGACTCTTCCCTCATTTGTTATAATCTGCCTCATTTCAGCTGAACCAAATATACGTATGGGAAACATTTTTACATTCAAGTAAGTATGTATATGCTTGGACTCTGCTGTTGTTCAGTTATCAAATAAAGATATCCCTTTTTCACTCATAGACTAAATTTTATTAAAAATGTTACCTCGGGTAGAATTTTCTTTACTATCAATAAGGAGATATGGCATAAATAAAAAGGTATCTCTCTCTCTCTGTCTATACACACACACACACACACACACACACACACACCTTCTGTTTTTAATCTTTAAATACGCAATAAAGAACATCAGTGCATTTGGACTTCTTACTGTTTCAGGTGTTAATAAGACATGATGGGCACATCCTTACTAGTACAACTTATCTGCCCTTTAAGCTGCTATTATTTACATGGAACAAATACCAGCATAACTACATCCTTACACACACAAATGGAAAGGACTGTTTGTGCTTTTGTGGTTAGGTTTTAGTAACAAGACTTACCTTGAAGAATGTCATGGTTGCGCCGTCCTCTACTGCTCCATACTCTATTTTGGTTTGCTTAGCTAAATCATCAGCAGAGTCAATGGGAGATTCCATGCGCTCCACGGTCAGAAAGGCGGCTAGGTTAGCAGTATACGAAGAAATGATGATAAGTGTGAAAAACCACCAAATGCCTCCCACTATCCTGGTGGAGAGCGCTTTGGGCATGAGCTCAGAACCTAACAGAGAGTTGGGGAAAGGTGAAACGAATACAGACAATTTGATCAGCAGTCAGACATGTGTGGTCACAGTGGAAGAAAGGGATCGCCGTGCAATAAAAGTTTAAGTCAAAGACTGACACCCTGCTTCAGTGAACAAGCAACAACCTTTGGGAGGGCAGAGGCCATTTTTAGCACTCTGCCACTTCTGGAAGAAACATCTATCAAGTACAGTGACAGACTAGCCTTACCTGAGATGATGTCATGTGCTAATTCAAATATTAACGTGTAAAA